AGGTCTTCGTTTGCTTGTACTGCGGAGTCAGTGCTGCTGCTTGGCTGTGATGGGGCCTTGCAGGCGTTGGGAAAATGAAGGGAGGAGAACAACAGGGTTCCCAATACAATTTCTCTCAGAGGCCCTGCCTGGGATGAGTGCTTTCATGCAAGCCACCAGAATCGCACAGCGTTTGACCTATAGACTCTTTTTGTTTGCAAGAGATCGAAAAGAACGCCGTTGCAGAAAAGGAACGCCAGCACCTCCCTTGCTGTTGAAGCTCCCAGCTCCTTTTCGCATGGCCTTTGCCCGAAGTGCAACGACATTTGTTTCAGGAGTCAGGAGGTTCGTTGTTAACCATTGGCCGCATGGCTTTGGACCCAGGTTCTTGGGGTATAGCCAGTCTATCCTCTTCACTATCCACTCCATAAGAGATAACTATAAACCACTCATTTATTAATTTACCATCATACACTGAAATTGTTCGTTCTCACCAACTGGGTTGAATCCAAGCTCCTCGAACCTCCTCCACCGCTCGCGCTGACCCTCCCAGGCCACCCTGGCGTCGGCCGCCGACGCAGAGCTCCGGGACCTGCGCGGGCGCCGGGGACCGCGGCTGCGCGAGCTGCTGCAGCGCGCGCGGCCCACGGTGCTGCTGCTGGTGGCCGGTGGTGCCTCGGGGCACTCGGAATGGACGAGTGGGGAGTGGGGGGAGAAGGGAAAGATGGCTTGGGGGTGGCTGAGAATCAGGGACCACAATTTGTCGCAACCATTCTGGGAAGTGGACCATCATTTTAAGAAGGGTCCTTGCTCTGAGAGCATCAGACTTTATATAAGAGCTATTTTTGGGTTCAAGCAGGTCAACTGTGCAAGTGTAGCGGGCTTATTTATGGCTTTGCTGGCATCGTTCAGGCATCATATTTCCACGGTCGAATGTGATGGTGCTGGACCTGCAGTTTGCTCCCACTTCTGAAAGCAAACTGCAGTGTCAGAAGTGGATTCAGAAGGATTGTGAACACCATTGGATGGTCATTTTCCAAACTTGTGGGATGCATGCCGCAGCTCGAGATTTGTGCGGCTTCAAGGACTACAAAAAACCAGCCTTAACATCCAGGACGGCATGTGCCGGTACAAACAACCTCCTCAAACACACATGCAAAAAGTAGCCGCTGATGCAATTGCTGAGACGTTTCAATGATTACAAGATGGGGTCGCTCATTAAGGCTGTTTGAACAGTGACTTAAGTGTGTGTGTTTGTTTAAAACCCATTCCAGCAGGGGTTGAAGAACCCTATAGACTATTCTATAGGTATGCCTGGTTACAGGTACCCCTATAAGGTCACTTCACCTTTGTAGGTTGGTCCTTCTGGATCGGTTTGTCCTCAGGTTGTGACCTCAGCCTCCACGGGGCGGTCCCGGAAGTCCTTCGCAGCCTGCAGACCTTGGCGCTGGAGGCCGTGAAGGTCGGATTTGGCATTCGGGAGAGGGGCAGGTGAAACCTAGGTGAAACCTTTCATGAACATCATTGATCATTGAATATTTACTATCCAATCCAACATCTTGAAACTGTTTGACAACAATTGTAATAATGATAGTTTCTATGATGTTCTGTAGTGAACGGAAGGCCACCTGGGCGGGCAGTTTAACGCTAGCTTTTGCTGTTCCACGACCGAGGCAGCCCCTGAGACGATCTTGGCCATGATGGCAGTGCCCGATGCGGGTCGGGCCGCTGAGCAAGCCTCGATGCTGGGCGCTGCTTTGACGACCAGGCGGGCTTTGACGAATTCTTGAAGACGACCACAGGAAGTTCCCTCGTCGCTTCCAGAGATCCTTGTCAAAGTGGTTTTGATCAAACACGGTGCTAAAGAATCCTTCCAACGACATCTAAAACACTCAGTTTCATTGATCCCAAGCTATCCCAAGATATGGTTGTTTGCATGGTTGAGCAACTATTGGACTTGCAGGTTGCGGTGAAAGAGTTGCGATCACACAGCGTAACACCCACGAATGCAGTCACTTCTGCCGCTCAAGACGAAAGGTCTTTTGGACGATTGCCTAATTTCACACTTGAAGTGTTTGAGTGCTTTCCAAGCCAATGGAGAGATAGCAATGGAAGTTCAGATTCCTCCAAGGAGCCAATCAACCTGGCCAAAATGGAGCCAAGCCAAGCAGTTGGGTGCTGGCTCCTTGGGGGCCAATGGGGCCATCAATCGGATGAACCCGCTATAGTCACCAGAGCCACTAAACCCATACTACAACCACTACCAACACCGCCTGGAATGCGGATTCATTACTAGGGATTACGGATTGCTCGGATTACATACCCATCCACCCGTGCAAGCTCTTGCAGAATCTCGCAGAAAAAAAAGGAAAAGAAGGCATCATAACTCCCACCAACATCTTCCCCAACTGCACCACCCAACAAAAATTCGCCCCGCCACCGCGTTTGGGCGCCGTGCGCGATCTGTGAGGCGCCAAGACTTGAATCGTGCTTTGGCCCAGTGGAGCTCCACCCAGCCGATGGCCTACGTGAATTCGGGCGCCTTGCTGCCGCATGGCCCAAGGCCGGCGTGGCGGGCAGGGCCTGGTGCGGGACCACGCATGCGATGGGAGTTGGTGTGGGGCTTCCGGTGGCAGAAGAAAGTCAAGTCTGCCAGACGTGGCAAGTCCAGCTGGTAGACACTTCAGGAGTCTTGAACTGGTGGGAAATGAGAATAGACAAATTGAAAGAATGAGAATAATAGAAAAGCTACATAAGACAAAAACTCCTTTTGACGATTTTTCAAGGTTGAACTGGTAGAAGCTCCACTTGAAGAGTTTTAGTCCCTGCCGTCAGATCAATGGCTGCTGGCTATTGGGACGGCCCATTGCTGTCAACCAAGGGCGCTTGGGGGGCCCAGTGGACCTGTCTTTTGAACGACGCGTTGTATAGACAGCGACGCGTCGTGGGAGGTTAGCTAGCTACTCAGTCGATCCGACAGGGGGGTGCTGGGCAGTCGTTGCACGTGTTCTGTGCTTTTGGGAAAAGAGATTTGGAGTTACAAAAACAACAACAACAACAACAACATGTTGTGTTATGTTGTGGTTGTGGTTGTGGTTGTTGTGGTTGTGGTTGTGGTTGTTGTTGTTGTTGTTGTTGTTGTTGTTGTTGTTGTTGTTGTTGTTGTTGTTGTTGTTGTTAATGTGTAAGGACCTGCCTTTTGGGGAAAATTTGTTGCCACACCTTCGTAGCCATTTTCCACCATGCGGTCGCAGGCCCCGCACAACATCCAGAGAGGTGCCTACCAGCCTCCCCTCTTGGGATTCACACTCAAGGCCTTCCATGTGAAGGTTGCAAATCAATCAATTTAGAATCATTTAGATGAATAGTCCAAGTTCAACGTTCTCAACATCAATCCAGTTTCAAACAGTTTGAGTCCACAATCCGTGTTCAACAGACGTCAATCAATATCAATCCAACCCTGGAGTAGACTCTCACTGAGGCCCACGTGCTCTCAGGCCGCTTGGCCTGTGCCTTGCTGCCACAAGTGATGCGGCGGCGTCAACATGAGGACGGCTGGGAATGGCGGGTTGCAGGAAGTCCGTGTGCCGACGAAGGATGGAATCATCTTGGGGAACTATACAGTAATCTTTTTATTTGCACATAAATTCTTTCTACTATGATAGTAGTATGGGGACTGTAACAACTATCTACTATCATCATAGTCCCATTTATGATAAATCCTTTCTACTATCATCTATCTAGTCCCTTTACGGCCCCCATGCAATACGATTCAGGTAAATTGAAATTCTTGGAACCATTGTTTGCTTACCATTGGTTCAACTAGGCATACTTTCTTTAGCACCGCACCTTTCTTTAACATGTTATTTCTGCGAAAGGATCTTTGTACCAGTCCTTGTTCCTCACCACTGGACCCATTGTTTCGAGCAATCCACCACCCCACAGGACAAAAAAAAGGGAGCACCAAGCGTTTTGACAGTCAACAGAGCCGAACCCCCGGCCTCCACAAGCTCGCTCCAGGCCGAGCCCTTGGATCTGGGAGATGAAGGCGAGAGGAGACGACGCTTGGAGACCTTGGAGACGCCCCTGAGAGAGCTGAGAGACTCACTTTGTTCCACCTTTCTGCCCTGCAAACATGTGGCAAGCTATGCAAAGAAGGGGGGCAGATATCCATGTCCATGGCCAAAGAAAGTTTCAGGATCTCAGGGCTGCAATCACCTGGGCCTTACTGGCTGTATACCACCTGTGCATGTCAGGTGAGGTGCCTTCTTTAGAGGCCTTCATGAAAGCCTTCAGCTTAGAGGATGAGGCAGAGGCGCGCCGAGCTCCCGCGATTGCCGGAAATCCAGCACGCGCGGGCGTTCGACCCGCAGAGGGGTCGACCCTTTGGCGCGGTGTTTTCCAGGTCTCAAGATACACGGCAGACGTGGGTCCCCAAATGGTGGAAGCATCGCCGCCGTCGCCGAGGGTTTTGGACATGTTTGTTCCCAGCTTCCTTGCCTCACGGACACCTTCCACCGGCAAGGCGAAGAGTGCTGCTCTTGGTGCACCCCTGGGGGCGAACGGTGCTCCTGCTCCACCATGGGAGGTGGGGTTGTGGATGATGTGGATGGCGCTGGACTGAGTTCGTTTGTTGACCATCCGTGGTGGGTTTACTTTAGTATGAAAAGGTGAAATAATTACTGTACATGATTGGAAACTGAGTCAGAAACTAACCTGCGGCTTACCGGCTTACAATGTTGTTTTGCAGTTGAGTAGACGCGGTAGCACTCCCCTGTGGATCCAGATGTTCCTGACTGCCCATGATGAACGATTTGCGTCAAGGGTTGTTTGTGTTTGTTCAATGTTTTGCGTTTTTTTTGCAACGGATTCCTTTACTGGTTTGATGTTTGGTTTGATGTCCTTTATAATGCAATATATATATATAGTGCTTCTTTTGTGTCAAATCCTTTTGCAAAAGACATACCATATCTGTAAGACATCGTAGGACATTGTAAGACTGTTGATTCGGACCCCCCCCTATTTGGAATGTACATCTCCATATTTTGTGGGGGTATTCTTGATCAGTCACCAGAACATGAAGACCAGCTGGCCAAACCGGAGCCGACCCTTCTTGTGGCCCTCCAAAAGGCCGAACCCCAAAACGCCCTCGCACCACGGCCAGGTGTCGGCTGCAGTGCAACTCCAGCGAAGCCTTCGCTTCCTCCTGGGGGCCGAGAACAAGGCGCAGAGGCCGAGAACACGGCGAAACGAGGAAGTCGGTGACGCGGCGACAAGGCAGGGACGTCCCTGCATGAAGTTCATGCGTTGGGATGCACCAGCAATTTCAGTAAGCTTACAGCTTACTGTATTACTTTTGGTATAGTTCATGCATGTTCATGCGGCAAGATATTTGGGCCGGTGGACAGCCGTAGATGTTCCTGAAGTTTCTGGTGTGTCCGTCAACTTTCCCTGCTACCATCTTCTACCACTGTGTACGATACAGGGACTATCATTTTGGATCATCGTGGAAACCCCAGGTTTGGGCGATTCAGGCTGGATTCGGTTGGATGTTTATAGCTGGCTTCTGGTTGAACTGACTCGCACCGACCCCCTCCTGAGCCAGGCTGGCCTTGGCACGTTTGAGCGTGCGGCAACGCCTGAGCCGTGGGACGTCTTGGCAACCGCGGCTTTTGGTGACCTCGGCCGGACTGCGCCTCAGTGCAGGTTGAGCAAAACTACTGCGATTGCAGGGTTTGGCGATGCCGGGGTGTCTTAGGAAACCTGCACCAGTCGGTAAACAAGAACGTCGGCCTAGACAAACTGAACCATCATCATCCATTGGACCCAGGGATTGGGAGCTATATACCCAAGGTTTGGCAAGGTGCAGGCTATTTCTGTGATGGTGTGAAAGGATGGCGGGAGCAATGTTTCATGAAACAATATGGAACAGCGGAGATGGCGCTCTGATATATATATATATATACACAGTGTATATATATATATGTATATATTATCTATATATTATCATGAACAAGCATAGCCGTGGCAGGCACACAAGCCGTGCACGAGTGCTTCCACTCTTAGGGTTTATGCTATCAGGATCATGCAGCCCATGAATGCACAGGTCATTGCTTCGACTTTGGTTCAAGCTGCTTTGGAGGAAGGGCACGGCCGAGTATGGTACCCATAGCTGGCTGAACAAGCGACGCATCGGACAGAACCATGGACAAGCGACGCAAGACATGAATCAGACCTGGAATCCCCTTCCACCCACGGCCCTGACGCATGAGAGCCGATATTCTGTGGTTTTGCATGGCTTGGTGTAACTACACCTTCCCTCATGAAATGGGTGTTAAACACATACTTGGTGTGCGTCAAGAGACGGGGTTGGTACAACCTTCCCCGGAACCAAACAGCAAAACCCATCTACAAAACTGCAGCCTCAGCAGGCAGAAGGTTTAGCCAGATGAAGGAACGAACAAAGAGTCAGCTTTCTAACACACCCAGAACCACAAGACAGAACTTTCGACACTTCAGAAGGGATTTCGTCGCGGCAGACGATGCTGAAGCAGAGGCTAGTTAGTTACTTTCTCTGGATGAAGATCGGGACCATGACATAGATTGGATGGTCCTGGGTTAAGCAGAACACGAGTTTAGATGTATTTTGACACGGCGGTTTGAACGGCAGTGTTTGCAACCTTTGAAGGATGAGAACGCTAATGGTTTCTTCAGCCAGCCATTTTTTGGAGGATGTCTTATGTGAATGGGCACTGCCTCCCCTGTTGAAGAGAGATGGGTTGACAGATTCTGATTGACCGATGTGCACGGTACAGGCATGGTGAACCTCTCTTCCTCAAAACCCACTTGGGCCAAGGGAGACTCATAGAAACTCATAGATCACGGCACTGTTCTCGTGAGGGTCGTTTCCTTGCAAGAGCAGAGCGTCGGCCGGTCTAAGAGGCGGCCAGAAGGCGTTGGTTCAAGGGATCGGCCTGAAAAGACATGGCCCGTTCTCCAAAAGAGGTACGTTTTTCTTCCATCCCGGATGCAAGAGGGAGGTGAACAGCACAAAGTGTGCTATTCAGACTGACTTCTCGTCTGGATAAAGTGATAAGGCTGAAATGAGTAACCAGCTTCTTGATGAGACCCCAGTTCGGAGGACCATTGTTACATCATTTTACACATTATATATATATATATAGCTGTTAAAATCCATGGCCACAGCAGCCGGAACGAGAGCATAGCAGACCCCAAATGGAGGATCAGTTGATTTGCCTACGCTGCACTGCAGGATGCACCTCGCCGAGTGAAACTCCTGCTGGGTAGATAGATGCACAGTTAGATGCATATAGACTCCATAGAAGCTTCAAGGTGTCGAGGAAGAAGTAGCTAGGTGATCACTTGAAGGGGGGTTCTCGCATCCAAATGCAGTGCTTTCAGAGGTTCGATGGCACAAATTGTTCCATGGGGGTCCTTATAAAAGCACCACCTGGCACTTGGGGTAACTGGTGCCATCGAACCTCTCATGGCCGTAGCGACCAGAGCAGCGCCCGGTTGACCGACCCGGCACACCAGGTGGACGAGATTCGACCGGTGGGTCGGATCATGCAGCGCCGGTCATCACGCCTGACTCAGGCGGTATGGGGCAGGGTCCCGTGGTGGGGTTTAATGGGATTGGACACCCCTTATGGATTCACAAAACGTTTTACTGTATACTTATTGGGTTTATGATGGGTGATGTATATATAGGGTTTACTGTAATATACTAGGGTTCACTGTAATATGTGGGTTTCTGGTATGTTTATATATGGGTTTACTGCAATTAAACATCACTGTATCATTAGCTGTGTTGGTTTTGGGTCTTGCGCCCATACCCAGACAGTCCATCAGACTATATATGCCCACATCGACCCCCCAAACCCACGATGGTGAGAGGGTGACGATCTGATTGGGTTGCTTCATTGGCGGTTGGTCCAGTGGTGCGCATGATGTGCAGAACAGATGATGTGCAGATTGGTTGAAGGTCACTCTCAAGCATCACCATTTGTTGCTACACTCCCTAAAACTAACATGGTTACGTGGATGGCCTGGCCCATTATATGGATGACCATGTTCTACAAACAGGTGGTGAACTCCACGTAACCATGGTAGTTCCAGGGAGAGTACGGTTGGGCTGCAAGGAATGTCTTTGACCTGCAGAACCCTGGCGCGGATCCCGACGTCCACGTGGATCCGGACGTCTCGGACGTCCCGTCGCTTGTTGCGCCGGTTTCCCCATTTCGCCGTTTTCGCCGGTCCCCCAGTGAACTCCTCTCTTGTTTAACCATGACTTAATGGGATGCTTCATGCAGCCTTGATAGATCAGTAGGTACTGTATATATGTAAAGCCTCAATGCTGCAGGGATGCAAGAATGCAGATGATCAAAAGCATGCCTCCAGCCGTGTATGCGCACGAGAATGAATCGGAATCACCGCCCGGCAGGAATCTTACGAACCCCCCAAGCCACTTGTTCAAAAGCTAATGGTTGAGAAAAAAAAAACCGCAGGTTCTGCTGCATGTGGTTCCGGTACACTGACTTTCCACGATAGATTCACGTGATGGGATGGGGGAAAGACATCCAAGAGATATCCAAAGGTGGCAGGTGCTCTCCCAGATCGATCCTTCAGGTGGTGGACCGTGGCGGAAGACAATGCTGGGGAGGGTTCTTTGGATGGCAGGACGGTGTCCGGAATCGGCGGAGGAGGTGTTTTTGGAGGTTTTGGGATCCAAGCCAATGAGGTAGGGTCCAACAGAATGGCAGACGTTGCTGAGATTTCAGGTGATTCTTCTAGGGTTTGCATTTTTATGGACTCAACTTGGAGGAGATATTGGGAGGCAAGAATCGGAATTTAGGCCCCTTGCCTTTGGCTTTGGACGAATCGATGCAAACACCTTCCAAGCTCTCTCACACGAGTCCGCCGTCCATGGACCAGTTGTGCTCGGTGTGTTCTTTCGCTGTCGTGGCCTATTTTCGAACTGGCAAAGACCAACGACCAACGTCTTCTTTTCACTGGAGACACCACAGGTGGATAAGACCAACCTTTCAACCAACGTGTTTTGGATTTGGTTTCACCGCTTGGGGTGGACACCCCACCCTGCTGCGGAGGGCCGATCGCCCGAGATCGTGCGCCTGATGCGGGGGGGTCATTGATGAGGGATGCCCCATTGAACTAGCTCACGCATTTCATTGTCCTATAGATAAACAATGATAAACATAGCCACCCAGTCATGGGGGTATTCACCACTGAACCGCGAAGAGATGTTAAGATGAGTTTATTCTTTGTAAAACAAATTTGGCACTGGGTCAAAAACAGGGGGGACCCTGCTTGAAGAACATTGAACATGACTAGTGACTAGAGTTTTCTCCACCTTCGGGATGTCACTCTTTAATGTTTTGGGGAGGTTTTGACTCACAGCTACGTCTTTTTGGTGTTGATCTTCGGAGATTGTGCATGTGGTGCCATCCAATTTCCTAAGGTCATGGACGCCCAGATCTCAGCTGAACGTTTGTCTCGTTGCGCACATTTTCTCGGCCTGGTAGGTTTGGGAGGTGGGATGTGAGGACAAGTGTTCCCTCTAAGATCCTGTAAGTCTTGGGCTTTGGATCATCATGCCATAGTACTGCATCATAAAGTACATAGAACATAATCGTCATGATGACTGTAAAGATTGTCGCATGGCGCCAGAGTTGGGCTGCAGTCCTCAAATATCCTTTGATGTCTGGAGTTTGTTCCCCTACCAGGGCCCCCCTAAGTAAGGGGTTTCCAACAATAGCCCCTTAGGGCTTAAGGATGTCCATTTAACCACCCCTTAGGGGCCCTGGTGCTAGTATGATCAGTGGGTTGGCTTATTATGTTGACTTCCCAGGGAGGCCTGAAACTGGTGGACCAACGTTGGTAGAGGAAGTCCTTGCAACATATTAGTTCAACAAGTTGCCAGGTAGCCAACCAGCAGGTACCCCGGCCGCTTTCCAGCCTACAGTCCAGTCATGTAAGATGGCACTGGACCCCGAAGCAGTGCTTCGTTATGCTTGGTGTTCACCCCTTCATCGCAGTCGACGCCCGCAGGGTCGACCGGCGATGCGACGATGCGACTGGATGGCTGATTGGACCCTGAGGTATCGGAGGTGCTGCAAGGAATTCAGCGACCTCACCTGTGTGGTTTGGCGCCCAGCGCGTGGATAGAGAGTTCCAATCCTAGAGTCGGCAGTCTAGATGGCTTTGAATATACAGTCCGGCACGTCGGCAAGACATGTTCATGCTGGTCATGTGAAGTGGCCAGTGGCGATAGTGGCGGGCTTTTTGGGCTATCCCACAGCCCAGACTGACAGACTATGGGGCAGCCTGTGCACTCCCCGATGTTTCACTGTAGGATCAGGGCTTTGACCGAGAGCTTTGTTGCGGCCGGGCACCGAGAGCGCCAAGCGTGTCATCTCGTGTCATGCTGGGTACCGCGAGCGGGGTACGGCCACCACCGACTTCATGGTAGAAGATCATAGAAGTAGCGTGTTGCGAGCCAAATCTTCATATGTTTCCCACACTTTACTACTTGTTTAGTCTTTTTTATTCCCATAATTTCTAGTGAACAACTTAACTAACAACATAGCTTGACAATGTTTCCTGGCTGCTTGGGCTTCCAGTTCATGTCCTATCACATCCTATGACCTGAGCCCATGGAATTACAGGTGAATGTTGG